TTTAATGATTCCTATTTTCTTGAAAACATAATGTGATTTTTTTTTTTTTTTTTTAAGAGGAGGAGACATTCTTAGCTTCAGGGTATTAGTAATTACATGATGGATGTTTCGAATGAACTTGTTCAGTAACTTTACACAATTTACCCTTTGTCATGGAAATAAAATACTGGTTGAAGTATTTATTCAAGTAGAAATATTCCCAATATAAGCAAAATGTTGTTAGCTGCATTAAAATCATATTCATTTAACCCTACATGATTTATTGTAATGGTCATAAATTTGCAACAAGTTTTAGGGTGTAAGCAGTATGAAATAGTCTTGAAAGATTAAGATTATAGTTGATAACAAAGGAATGATTTAATTATTCAGAAAAGTTTTAATGTATAGAATCTAAGTATTTAAATTGACTTATTTTGTCCATAATAAAAGTTCAATGCAAAGTTAAAACATCATAAAACCATTTGAAAGATTGTTCTTAATCATAGAAATTGTGTTACTTTTGAAAGGTGTATTCTCACGAATAGTTTAAAAGCAAATATCATATCTGACAATATATTTAAAAGTACAATAATTGTCTTCTTAAACATTTCTTAAATCATAGGCTTAAACTACGTTTTTGTTGTCGTTCTTTTTTAAACAGAAAGGGTCTTTAAGAATAATGCTGTTCAATCCTTGCATTTTTGTGGATGGTGAAACCAAAGCTTGGAAAGGTTACATGAGTTGTCACAAAGCTATCTGGGCCTCAGGGGTGGTCTAAGGGTCCAGCACGATCACCCAGTGTCATGCTTATGTACTTGTCTTGGTTATGGGTCGGTTTATTCACAAGTAACAAAAGCACTGTCAAAGGAAGGGAGGAGAACTTCAACCCACGTAAGGGAAGGGAGCCCAGCAGGATATGGGGTCTATGCAGGGTAGTCCCTTCTGTCCATTCTGACCTCCCTGTTCTCTGAATTCCTTTTTCATCATGTTTCCTTGGCAAGCCTCACAGTTTTTTGTTTTTGTTTTTCGCCCTGAAAACACTAGTTTGCCCATGTCAAGGAACTGGTTCTGAACAAAGAAGCCACTTGCCTGTTGTGTGCTTTGTGTGCATTAGGACACGGTGCCCAGGGGAAGCCGGCGGTGGGGTGGTGTACCACATCAGCCTGGCCACGGCCTCACCACCCTTGGCCCTACACATCTGCCTGACTCATGTCTGGGTCTCCATTCCAATTTCTGACCGCTCCTACTTCTGTCAAATGCTGTCTCAGTTGGCCAGGTGGTAAACATGACAAAGAACCCCAAACGTATCACATGTACAGTATATTTGAGCGGAAGAAGCAAAGGAGAGTTGAAATTCGATGGCAGGACATCCTGGCCTTACATTTGCCCTCTCTTTTTAGGAGTTAGACCCCACAGTAGAGTCGTCATCCTGGGTCTCAAGCTCTGAGAGGTCATGAGCAGAGCTAACAGCTTTCACCTGTGCACCTGGGGGCAGCTTGCCACCCGCCAAAGCTCACAGCCCAGTTGACGGCTGGCTCCATCATCCTTTGCGTTGGTTTGCCTTTGAATGCGTTTTTAAAAATAGAATCTCACTGGAATACTGGACCTTTGGGACATTTCAGGCAAGCCCCACTGCACCATGTTCAAAATGCAACGCTGACAATGCAACATTTTAATTTTATTTAATATCGGCAGTTTCTCTCTTTGCCAACTTCATTGGAAACCCAACAGTAGACAAGTTATGAAATTGAGTCACTGAATTAAGCTACTTATTTAAGAGCTCCCTAATGGCCAGTAGGGATGGCACCAGGAACCAGATTTGACAACATTTAAGAGGTGTCGACATCGGGGTCAACCACTGCAGGAAAGAGGGGACACAATCACATATAAGGTGGTTTCTTCAGGGCTCTAGGGAGGTAATCAACTCTGGCTAAAGAGAGCATACTACTAAACCACATTGCTTCATGTGGGCCATGAGCATAGGTATAGAAAAATATCATGATATATATTGATAATAAGAGGGATCACATTGCATTACCAAATACAATCAGAAGAAACAAAATATGCAACTCTAGCATTTTATTTTGAACTAAGTTAAATCTAAATCACTAGGTTTCATATACATTAAATAGTCAAATAGTTATCACATTGACCTTTTTAGAAGAGATTTCTAAGATAATGTAACCTCTCACAGAAGCAGTGTCAGCAAATGCATGTAAATAAAAGAAAAGTGGATCACCACATCCCCGTGTTGTGTCCATGGCACAAAGAAACATTTTCCGCTGTTGCCTGACCTTGAACCTGGCCACACAATACTTCTGGCAGCCACTCATGGCCTTTTAATTGGGCTTAGTACTCAATGATTAATGGTTGGTCATTTCCCTGGTAAATTAACCTTCCTGGGAGCAAGGACCTTGCCGTACTTGCTTTATAGCCTCAAACCAGCGTATTCCCTGCACACAGTGAAATTCAGGGTACGGTCGAAATGGAGAAGTAGTCCAAAAGTCGTAAAAAAGTATTTTTCGCAAGCAGATGATTCTCGAAAGAAGATATATAAGCAGCCAAAATCACAAGCAAAAGTACATTTAACTTGTAATTTAAAAAATGTGGACAAATGATTCTTAGCTAGATTGGCGAATATTTTTTAAAAACTACTATTTATTGTTGGTAATATGAGGGGAATCAAGTGCTTACATGTATGGCTGGTAAGACTATAATTTGTTTTAGGTTTTGTGGAGGAAATTCGGTTGATCAAAAATCATAAAAACAGAAACACTTTGACTAGAAATTTTACCCAGGGAAAATTATTTCATGAAAATAGATATGTATGCAAAGATTTAGATATAAGGAAATTTGCTGAAGTATAATATTTAAAAATTAGGAACAATTTGTATTACTAATTGTCAGGGATTGGTTAAATAACATTTGATGGCTTCTCTTTAAAGTATTATTTATAGCATGTACATATATGTCTAGCATACAGCTGTTAAAATTATATAAAAGTTCCTATCAACATGGACAGATATTTAGTATGTACTATTAAATGTAAAAAAAGATTGCAAAATATTATTTATGGTACATGCTCTTATTTTGCAAGTTTTAAATGTGTATGAGCATAAACCCTTATAAGAGGGTCTAGAAACTCTTAATATTTGCTACCTCTTGACAAATAGAATAGCGGGGCTCTTTTTTAATGTTTATTTGTTTTTTTCTCCCTGTTTTTTTTCCCTCTCCAATTATCATGATTTACTTCAAAACTTTTTTTAAAAGTAAACTTTTATATTTAAAAAATTGGTTTGTAGAGTTCTTATTTTTCCTCAGTATGTTCTCCTATAGTGAGCATAACATTAAAAATCACTCTGTCGGTCATTGTTTTAAGAATAGTAATTTCAGCATTTAGAAGTTAGAAGCCTTGCCTAAGGACTTTCGTGTGAACACTGGAGTCTGTCTTAAACCTGGCCCTCTGTTCACGTATTCTTTGTTCCTTCTCTCATTCTTCCTCTTTCCTGAACTCTTCCCCTCATTAAAATACTGATGGGGAAAAATGACCAAAGTCTGATGAGAGTGGTTTGCTACAGAAGCATAGGAGACAATTAAATTTTGCTTAGGTTCCCAATGTTTTCTTTCGTTTTCATATTTTAAAAATAATATATACTTGTTTGTTATACAAAAATTTGGAAAGTATAAAACGTTTTCAAAGGAGTTGGAAAAAATGCCATAATGTAGCATACATACATCAAATATCAGTTTTTATTTTTCTATACATTGTTTCCTTTAGTTAAAATCATGTTATAGAGTTAAGTATGTTTTATTCCTCTTAATGGAGTGCATTCTAAGTATTTTTTCAGAGCTCTCTTTTCTTTAGGAGCAGCTGCTGTGCCAAACCAGCTTCCTTCTCCTTTATCCTTTCATTTAGCAATACTCTTGGTTACCTACCATGTGCCTGCTAAAAGCAGGCTGTCAATGGGAGAGAAGATAAGCATGATGCCTCCTATGGAGTGGTCCATCTAGGCACACATGCCCTGCTCACTCCCCTGCAGAGCTCAATAAACAACACAGGACTAAAGGGGAATGAATGAAGGACAGGCATTAAGTAGAGTCACACAATGGGCAGCAACTGCTTGTGCTCACTATAACCCTAGTCATAGTCTCCATTATTCCCTAATATCCACTGACTATATTTTCTCCCCCCATGGGAAACAAATAGGATTAGCAAAAAATGATTATTTTTTTGTGTCAGGTAAGTCTCACTAAGATTAATAAGCTCTTCCCATACCCTCAAAAAAAGAAAAAAAAATAAGAACAAGAACAGAGAGGAATAAATATGTCTCAAATAAAGTAATCAGGTGCTACTTTCAAAACGTTTGAAGACAGAGACAGAGCAGGAACTGACCCTTCAGAAAGAGGCCCCTCATTCTGTCACGGATATTTCCCTCATTTGCTGTATCTGGGGTGTCTAGCTGGAGCACCAAGGCAGAGACCAGAGCAGCTAGTATAATGGGGGCATTCAAGAGGTCCCAGATAGTGGTTACTGGCCAAGCAGGGTGAAAATATTTTCACAAGTGGTATGACAGCCTAAGCCCTGGAGGAACTATATCAGAATATTCCAGTGACTTCTGCTCTGGGGAAGGAGAAGCTATAACAGTCACAACAGCTCTCCTTTTACAACAGAACCATGTCTGGGGTTAATATCTGCTAAACTCATGACATGGGAAACTCCAGATCTCCTTGACCAATTATAAAAGAGAGAGGGAGAAATTTCGTGTTCAAACAAGTAAAATCACATATCAACATTGTAGGAATGCTGCTTAAATATTGTTGAGATTGAGGAAAAGGAGGCAAGGACAATAGAATGACTGGCTGGGCTTGATGATTAGGAAGACTGAGGTATCTGTTTCTTTTTAAAGGACAAAAAACTCAGAAAAGAGAGTCATTGTATCTTAGTCACATTCATGAAATGGCAGTATATGAACTTTTAATAAGTATGATAATGTTTTTAATAGTTTATTCTCCTCTTTTAGCTTTCCTTACTGGAAAAGGCTGGATTTGGAGGTGTCCTTCTATATATTGATCCTTGTGATTTACCAAAGACTGCAAATCTTGGCTATGATACCTTCATGGTGTCGCTGAATCCAGGAGGAGACCCTTCTACGCCTGGTTATCCAAGTGTCGGTAAGTTAATTGATAATCTTCATTATTCTTGTAAGCATCACAAGGTTGCAATTTACATGTACATGCTACCTAAACTAAGCAAGTGATAGTAAAGTCAAAGAATTCTTACCACTCCATATTTAAAAAGCGAATCTTATATTTTCTCAGATTATAGACTACTTATGTTTTGGAATAAATAGCTTTAAAAGTCTCCAATAGATTTTCTGTCTTAATAAATTATGGTAACATGAGCAAATAAAAAACATACTTTATAGGTTATTATTGATTGATAAGAAAAATTAACACCATGTGTGATGGGCACTCCATGTAGGTGGAAAAGATGTACAGAAACCCAGAAGCACGAAATGTCTGCTGCTGCAGGGTAGCTGTAACGATGTTCAGTTGAGAGTCTGGCGCTACATATAGTCAAGTTAAATGAAGTTGAATAAAGTAGTGAGAAATGAAGCTGGAAAAAAGTGGAGTCATGATCAAATTGTGTGGCCACCTATGAGAAGAGGCCTCATCGGTTAGGCCAGTCTCTGGCAGCGAGAGGTGGCCCTCTTTGCATCCTTCTCTTTCCCAGTAAGCTGTGTTCATGATAGTGGGGGTCGTGTGACAGAGAAAAGACAACTGTGATTTTGGCAGGTGCTCATTGCATCATCGAATTTCTGTCTACTGTGTCATTGACAGATACTACATTTATACAGACTTGGCTGAGGAAAAGCTCTTTGGAGCTACTTCCAGGGTGATACTAACCCATTAACCATGACATTTCAGTCAGTAATTAAACTAACAAAAAATTCATGCAATTATTTATGTTCTGCCAATATTTTTCTTGTTCGCCACAAAATATCACAAGACCTTACTAATTATCTTACTCATGTCCAGCTGTTGTGACTTTACCAATCAATCAATAACTTTCTTGGAGAAAGAAGTAAATTGAGGTATGAGTTATAATTTGTGATTTTGGGGGAGAGTCTACTAATTACTGCTTTGTTTTTCTAAAATCCCCTTTAATCCATGTAAGAAATTCATTTGGGACTTCATTGATCTGTACTTTTCATAGTCTACTGTCTCATTATTACAATTTTGAAATTAAAATTAGGAAGTGTTCATCTGTAATTCCTGGGCATCAAAATATTGGCCCAGCTTTCTTATTTGCAAATGCTCCAATTTCTCCGGTTTGGAATGCCTCAGCTTCAGGGGTTGCACCTGGCAGCTAAGTCTTTGTGACAAATCAGTTATTAGAGAAATCTGTGGATGGTCTTTCTCCATTGCTGGTGGGAGTGTGATTTTTGGGTTACCACTGGAGTAAGCATTTCCACATACCCCCATGGGAAGATGAGATATGGGAGAAAGTTTTATTTTTGTGGAACTACTTCCTTCAGTTTGATAAATTCCATTTTCCTTAATCCAGTCCTGGAATATGTGCAGCTGGGGCTCCAGCAGAGCTAGAAGCAAAGCCAGTGTCCAAAGTTTCCATTCCATGGTGGAGCTGGCTTTGGTACAATGTAATGTGAATATGTCTCATGTCTCATGATGCTAACTTTAATCCCTTGTTGATGGTGATGTCTGACAGCTTCAGTGTATAGTTACTATCTTTTTCTTTTGTAATTAATGAATGCCTTCTGGAGAGATAATATAAGGCTATGTAAACATCCTCTTTCTTATCATATTTTTCCCCTTAAATGTTAGCATCCATCAATAGTTCTAGTCGGTTACAATTATTATTGTGGTATTTGCCAAATGATGATTTTCTTTTTTTATCATTCTTTTAGAATACTTTTTAAAGAAATTTTTACAAAATGAGTAGTCTTACTTGCCACCTACATTCTTAAGCAAAGATAAAATGACTAGTTATTTTGGACAAAGTATGTCAGAATTTCTAGATTCAATGACAAAATAACAGTTCAATAAGTGATGTTATCTACTCTATTATTCATGTAGTTATAGATGACTCTCATGAACAATTCTTTCACAAATGCAATGCCACAGTGAAGAAGGTAGAGGATCTCTTTTGTACATATGGATCTCTGTATAACACACAGGAAAGGAAAAGATACAACCCATCGTATTTCTCTTTTTACCCTGTATGCTAAGAATCTCTGATATATACCCCTGTTTCTCATTTATTTATCCCTTTTTGAAATTTTCTTAAATTTATGTATCTTATTATTTTATTAACAGTAAAAATAGAATACAATCCTCCTCAAAATATTTTGGGAGGAAAGAAGGAGAAGCCAGCTTTTGTGAATTATAAATAAAAGTTACCAGTAATAATTTGTTAAAAGTGAACAATAGTATCTGATTTAACCCCTTCAATACTGTCAGGCAGATAAATAATTATTAGAGGAATTAATATAAAACTACCTCTTTTTCTAGTTTTAGTAACTTGTTTTATTAACTAACCTAAGGATGATTAAGTTCCAAAGAAATAGTATAGAATGACAAAAATCCAAGGAGGTGTTTGTGCGTGCACGCGCACGTGTATGCGTGTGCGTGTGTGTGTGTGTGTGTGTGTAACATGCGAAGTAAACAGAATAGTATAATGAACTCTCTGTTTGCCTAATTTGGCTTCATCAACTATATACATTCAAAGTGGGCATTTTGTCTGTACATCCCCTTGCACCCCACAGTACCCCTTGCTATTTTTCCAGATAAAATTTGTGTATACTGTACTGAAATGCACACATCTTAACTGACAAAAGAATACACCCATGTAATCTCCAAGCCTATTTAGTTAAAAAACATTTTCTTCACCTCTGAAAGTTCTGAGTCCCTTCAGAGTACTCCTTGACACTAGCCCAAGCTAACCACTGTTTTCATGGTAGAAAAAAATGTAGAATATTTTAAAAATAGAAACATGCAATAATATGTATTCTATGCAGCTTCTTTTGCTCAGAATAATGTCTGCAATGTTGATTCATGGTGGCATGTATCAGTAGTTCATTCCCTTTGATTGCTGAGATGTATACCACAGTTTTTGTATTGACTCAAGCAGGTGTTTTTTTAAACAAGAATATTGATGCGTCTTTCACAACACCTGATCCAAATGGACTGGCCAAACAAGATACTGGAAATCCCTATAATGTGGTTCTGCTCAGTAAGTCTCACTGCATATCCAAATAGTTCTTTATTATAGAATTAGAGCAAAGAGTAAAACCTTTTCAGTTATTTGCTCGTATTACACAAAAAGAATGTCTTATCATTCCTTTAACCAAAACAAGCCTTTAATTTCATTTACCTTATTAATGATCTTTTCTGAGCCTTATTTTATTCAAAATTTCAAAAGAAGGAATATCTATACCTGTATTTATCTCCACAGTTAGTAAGGAAATGCAGCCTCTTGCTCCACCCCAGATTGATGCAGGAACTTAGAGGGTGGCGTCAACCTAACAGACTCTCCAGGTAATTCTGATGCAGCTGAAATGTGAGAAACAGTGCACTTCAGAAATATATTCTTTGTGTACCACTGGGGCTGCTGCCCTAAACTTTGAGACCTCATGTCACTCTTCTTGTAGCATCTAATCTTGCCGCCTTTCATTTTGCTCTCTCCACCTCAGTCAGGACTGAGAAACGTGTGTGTTTGGATCCTCAACCCAATTTTTGTGCTCAGTGGACTCCAGTAAATATTAGTTGAGTGAATAACTTGTTCCGTTAACTTGACTACTTTTCTTTGATGATTCCTATCCTTGGTATATCTTGATTTCTGTTAACCTAATTAAGATTTATTTTTTAAAAGTCTGTATAAGCACTTACTCATGATAGGCTTGTTTACAAAACATGTTATACTTTTTCACCTCAAATGCTTCTGTCGATTCTGCCTCATCTCTGCTGCTGCTCAAAATAGCAGAAAATCCACTGATTCAAAAAGATTTGAAATTCTAATTAAGATATTAGGACATCAAAAATCTAATCTAGTCTCTTAATTTATTTAATATTTTATCAAATATGTCAAAGATTAAATGTCTAAAATATCAAAAACTGCATCATAACTGCTTTCGCCAACTTGCTACAAGTGTCGCAGCTACATTGTGTTGTGACCCAAGCAAATCTCACCTGGAACGATGCAGTTTGGAATTCTAACTGACAGGTAACAGCGCGTTTCTCAGCTGAAGCACAAGTAACTTGAATATGTTAGCTAGGGACTCAGGTAAATAAGGCATAAAAACTGATTTTTACAGTAACTGGTTATAATTATAACACCAGTGATCGGTTTTAATGGGAATATACTTAACCTAAAATTATTAATCAATCAGCTACATAGGGTGAGGCTCAAAACAAAGAGGCAATCAGAAACATATGGGGAGAACATAAAAACAGGGAGGTGAGAAATGGGTATTTTTAGGAAGTAATACACTTGGTCTGCATTGAAAAGTAGAAAAGAAAATTTATTCCCAATGTCTAAGCATTAAGATTGTCTTATATCTGAAGGACTAGAAATAGTACTAAGAGATATAAATTCTTTCCATGTACTTTCTTTAATAATTTACCTTGTGAAATTTTGTTGGCTACAGAGTTTATTTTAATTTTAGTGCTTATCTCCAGACAACTTCCTTGCTATTATGGACTACTAGCTAATTGAAATATAAGATATATTTTTTTTATCCTCACCCGAGGACATTTTTGCATTTATCTTCAGATAGAACAGGAAGGAGAGAGGGAGGAAGAGAGAGAGAAACATCAACGTGAGAGAGACACATCGAGTGGCTGCCACCCACATGACCCCAACCAGGGATGGGGACTAACTGCAAGTGAGGTACCTGCCCTTAGTGGGAACTGAACCTGGGTCTCTCTGGACCATGGACTGATGCTCTAACCACTGAGCAAAACCGGCCAGGGCTATTTCTTAAAGAAATCTAAGACATTTCTTTTATCTTAACTTACACTTAATTCTCCTTATACCCAATTTCCTAACATTCATCATGATTTAAACCTTTGTGTGTATTATTATAATCCTGTTTGTTTGTTTTTTGTTTTTCTTTGATTTAAATTCTGCAGAGGAACATCAGTCATTTCGG